AATTAAAAAATATATAATTAAGTTAGAGTAAGGATGGTAATGGAACCACCTTACCTCTGTAACTTGATTTGTGCCACTATTAGAACCTCTACTCAGAATATTATTGCTTTTCAATTTTTGACTCATGCACTTTTAACTTGTTAGTTAAATTTGTATCTTCTAGGTGGCAACACTTCCATGATACATCTTCAAGGATATGAATATGTACGGCTAAGCACAATTGATAACAGTGCATCTAAATTCCAAGATCAATCTCCATAATAGTCTATGTGTTTCCTACTGCCAAAGGGGCCCTTTAGAGTAGTGAGAGAAGACCTTCACCCTGAAACCCACAGCGTCCCTTTTCAGCAGGAAGTAGCTAAGAGAATACGCCATCCCCTTTTCCTTATGAATCAGGGTGAAGTCTCTCTCAGGGAGGAGTGATAGGGAATGGCAAGGGACACACTGACAAAGGAGATTAATCAGAACTGGTTTTGACAAGCACTGTGGCAATTGGACAATTAAAACAGACATTGGGGGGGAGAAGAACAAACTGGGGATGAGGGTGGAGAAAACAGTGCAACAATGAATGAATGAAAACCCAAAATCTCTGTAAATGTTCATTAAAACGAATAAAATTTAATTAAAAAAATAAAAGTTGGAAAGGATAAGAAAAGATTAGAACTCTCGTACATTGCTAATAGGATTGAAAATGGTATTACCACTCTGGAAGGCAGTTTGGATTTTCCTCATAAAGCTGAAAAAGGGGAAAAATATGAAAAAAGATCTTATATGACTCAGCTATACTATGGCTAAAAATATACCCCAAGGAAATTGGGACTTAGAAATTAATAGAGATATGCACACCTATATACATAGCAACCTGGTTCACAATAAAAAGAAAATTAAAACAGCCCAAATGTCCATCTCCAAACAAATGGATTGAGAAATTGTGGTACACTCACACAGTGGAATACTATGCAGCCTTCAAGAAACGACAATTTTGGAAAATGCTATATACCCTGGGAGAGTTTAGAGAGCATTATACTGAGAGAAGTAGCCCAGTCCAAAAGGACAAATAGTCAAGCCCAAACTGTCTGTACTACCCTTGGGATTTTACTTTCCTTTTTCATAACCTATGTTGTTGTTGTTGTTATGTGCTGTCGAGTCGTTTCCGACTCATAGCGACCCTATGCACAACAGCCCTAAACCCTGCTCTATCCTGCGCCAACAGCACGGCCTCTGACACACCCATCCCGATTACCCCAGTCACCGAATCAATCCATCTCATAGAGGGTCTTCCCCTCTTGCGTTGTCCCTCAACCCTCCCAAGCATGATGTCCCTCTCCAAGGACCCGTCCCTCCTGGCAACATGTCCAAAGTATGTCAGACGAAGCCCCAGAATCCTTGCCTCCAAGGAGTAGCTTGGTTTAATCCTCTCCAAGATAAATCTGTTTGTTTTCCTGGCAGTCCAGGGTACATTCAGTACCCTTCTCCAGCACGACAGCTCAAAAGCATCCACTCTCCTTCTGTCCTCCCTAGTCATTGTCCAACTCTCTGATGCATAACAAGCGATTGCAAATACCATGGCCTGTATCAGGCGCACCTTAGTCTCCAGAGAACTGTTGCTCCTGAGTACCTTAGAGAGGTCCCTAACAGCAGACTTTCCCATCGCGATACGCTTTTTGATTTCCTGGCTGCTAAAAGGTGCTCATGCATATAAGAATTGAAGAAGTTAAACCAGCTTGAATTTAAATTTACTTTGACAGAAGAAGATAAAATGAAAACAAATTGTGCCTACTCTGCTTTGCCACATGACAGATTTAAAACCCCAGAGGGAAAACTTTCTGACCTGAACCTAAAGCAAGCACTCAGCTCTAACCTCCAAGGAGGGTGAAGTCTCATATACTGAGAGATCTTCCCACAGGCTCAGCAATGCACACTGCAATTTAGTCAAGTCTTTGAGCCTTAGGGTGAGTCTTTACCACATGGGTAGGAGGTCATTCCTAAGAAACTTAAAAAATGCCTGATCCTGTAAACACTGGGGAAGTCTAGAGATAAAGGATTTCGAGTACAAAGAATCACAGTAAATTCAATTGGTTTGGATGTCACAGGATTTCTTGTGTTGGATGCTTTCTGTTCTTTATTATTTAATAAAAGACAAAAGTTTATGTAGGATGGAAAAATTAGATAACAATAATAACAAAAAATGACAACACTAATAATAGCCAACATGGAAATTTATTGTATGCCAGACACTGTATTAAGTATCATTTAATCTTAGAAAAAAATATATGAGGTAGATACAATTACTTATTTCCATTTAACAGGTAAGGAGATAGAAGTATATGCACACTCCCTCAGTGCTGTGGAGTGGAAAACCACTCATAGCTGCTGATCCAGAGGGTTTTCTGGGACTGTGAGTCACATAGGAGACTGCCCATCTTTCTCCAACAGAGTACTGGTCGATTAGAACCACCAGAAAGGGTCAGTAGAACAACACTCTAGGTATTATGTCTTCAGAATTCCTTCATATGCAGACTAGACTCAAGATTAAACAGTAAAATGTACAGTTAAGTTTAAGTATAAACCAGTAACCTCATGTTTGCCTCTATAGATCTGACAGTTTTGAAAGATGGTACTGGTTTTTGTCATGGTTAAAGAGGCTTGTTTTATATAT